AGCGATTAAATACTGCAAAAATGTAACAACCAGATGTGCATCAATAAATATATAAAAGTGCTAAATAAAAATGTGGGAAAATAAGAGGGGGGAATAATGTCGGCTGTAACGAATATATGAGTGAAACTGTTTTGAACTCAGGCTCCTTTTTTTCGAAGAATCACGAGTTTGAAGGTTTTGAGGAGCGTGGAACCACCTCTTCATTCCTGTTGTTCCCTGATCCGTGGAGGTACAACCTATTAGACTCCTAACTATGGTCAAATAGTAAACAGCCAAACTAAAATCAATACACTAGGAGAATATAAAAATATACTCTTTATAATAAAGATACCAGTAATACATTTTCATAGTAAAATGATCGACATTAGATTTTTATAGTAATATCACCAATAATACATTTTATATTAAAATGATCAGTAATAGATTTTATAGTAATATTTGCAGTAATACATTTTTATAGTAAAATGAACAATACAATTATAGTAATATTAACAGTAATACATTTTTACAGTAAAATGATCAACAACACATTTTATTATTAATATTACCAGTAATACATTTTTAACCGTAAACTGATTAACAATAGATTTTTATAGCAATATTACCAGTAAATACATTTTCATAGTAAAAAAAAAAAAAAAATTGCTAAATACTGAATGTAAAATTTCATTGTTTCTCGTCGGGTGGCTGATAAAATAAATAATGAAATTTGCAAATTATTAAGATACGACAATGTCAACACTAATAAGACAACGAGAAATAGAATTAGGGAAGTGTATTATTTAAGCCATTTTTTTATGTTTATACGTTTTTTTTTATAGTTACAAATATTTAAGTAAATGCTCTGTTTATAATAAACAGTATTAAACTATAAATGTTGTTAATACTGTTTATTATAAACAGAGCATTTACTTAAATATTTGTATCTATAAAAAAGAATGTATAAACATAAAAACTGTCTTAAATAATTGTCGGACTTTGTCCATTTCATAATATATTACGTCATTTGTTTACATTTGGATACGCATTGCGCCGATATGAATGAATGAGAGAAAATCATAGAGAATTGTGTTTAAAAACAATAAAATCGACCTTGCTAACCGAACGCTCCTCTGTGACCCAATCGGTTAAGGCACGTTAGGCTATATGACGGTTCTGTATAGGATACAGGTTCGATTCCTGTCGAAGGACGCATATTTTCTATGAAAATCTCTCGGACATTCAGGTCGGTAAATGTTGTTAATAATTTTTATTATAAACAGACCATTTACTTAAATATTTGTATCTATAAAAAGAACATATAAACATAAGAAAATGTCTTAAACAATTGTCGGACTTTGTCCATTTCATAATGTATATGTGTATTAATCTTAAATGTGCCGATTAAGATTCTTTCTATAGAATTTTACACTTTGTAACATTTGCCTTTTTCTACCCCTTCCAGTTTCTGTTCTGCCATTCGTATACAAAAGCTCGTTAAACGAGTTACGCTTTGTTTCATTCTTGCCTTTTATTATTCCCTGTTTGTGCCAAATTCTCTAAGCTTTCTTACTTTATTATACATCCCAGAAGTTTAAACTATTTCAGGTTTTAATTTCAAGAAGCTTCCTAGTTGTTCAAATGCTAAGTACACGACATTCTCAGTATCCTTCGATATAACTACATCCCAGTCGCCACAAGTCTCCACTTCATCTGTGAGGAAATTATCCAACTTTTACTCTCATATAGGAGGCTTTACATTATGTAAGAGTTCAGAGGTCTTTGTTGCTAAGGAAACGCCCTTGCTTCTTAATACCTTGTTTATATTTTGAAGTGCATCTTTCGCTTTTCCAATGTACCTTCTGATTTCAGTTTCCGCTGCCTGTTAAAACACTTCCCAGACATTTACACCAGCTACAGTACACAGCTTTCATCTTGAGCTGTTCCACTTGCGAACGACAATATGTTCAGTCTTTTTAGAACTGATAGTCAATTCTTTCTTGGTGCTTTCTTTTACTAACTTTTTTAGGAGTCCCTGTAATTTTCTTTCTTCATCTGCCATCAACACGATGTCATCTGAGCATTTTTCCCTGTTAACAAAGCGCCCACCGATAATAATACCTCGTAGGACATCTATAATCCTCGACAACAGCAATAATGGCAATGATAATATATAAGGTGAAGGTGTGGAACAATAAGGAGAGAGGAACAGAGTTGTATATCATTCAAGCAAAAATAACCTAAACCTATAAAAATATACTTGCATAAGTTGAAACGGGGATCCAATGGTACGCTTCAATGAATGCAGTTAAAGCAGCAAGGAGCAAAGCTCATCAGAACAATTATCATTAAATTATTTGTAGAAAAGTCAGAAGGAAGTCACGTTACGTCGGTGAGAAAGCGACTGAAGTTGAGATGCCAGGTCAGGATCGATTATATTAAAAACTCTTCGTTGAAATTTTTCAAGAATCTAAAGAGCCCCAGATCGGATATGGTAAAAATATTCAATACACTGACGCATGCTATCTTTATAAATGCGCAAGATGGATTCTATAACGGCATAATGAAGCGACCTTCATAGCAATAGACCGAGCAATTCATTCAATATAATCACTCCCATTCATATTAGTGGAAAACTTGAGCTCAAGTAGGCGCAAAGTTCTGCTATCCTGGAGGTTAACATCAACCCTGCTGATGGCAAGCAGAAAGGTTTCTCTATGGTGATAAATGAAATCTATTTTATTTTGGAGAGTCATTTCTTGACCTAGTTTCATTAGAGGTCCTTCTTTAGAACAATTGTCTGTTTTATTTTGTCGTACCTGTCTGACATGCTACTAAGACTAAAGAGACGTGCAATCGTCATAAAATCCTAATGTGGAAGTGATGACATCAGGAAGATCGATGATGAACACAAGAACTAACATAGGTTCACGAATAGAACCATGGGGGACCCCGCCGTAAATGGAATGTATTAGAATCATGTCTGTTCAATACAACATTCATTAGACGAATTGTTATGGACACCGTAGCTCTTGAGCTTCTAGAGTAGGTCAGAATGTCTCAAGTCTGTCGAATGCCTTCGAGATATCTAGAGTGACAACTTGAGATTTATCATTCTTATCTAATGTTTCTAATCCATTGATAGTCGTTAACGCATTGGCGATAGACCTGGAGAAACGGAATCCATATTACTTATCCGAAAGAAGACCGTATACATTATGATTATGAACGAATTCGTGGTTGATTTGAGCCTCTCGGACAAGGACCAAAACAAGTAATTGGACGATCATTCCCCAGCGTTCTAAGTGGATACCTACATACAAAGAATTCCAACAAGCCGGAAAGCCAGAAGCAGAAAGGTATTTATCTTAGTTTGGAGAGAACGGGAGCCAGTTCAGGAGAACGTTTCCTTAGGAAAATTAAAGGGATACCGATGAATCTGCAAAATTTGTGGACATCTAGTTTAGAAATGATAGCAGAATCCATTGACGTGGTCATAAAAAGAAAAACGTAATAGACAATGTTTTTCCTATCACCTCAATTTCAAGGTGATGACAATAAAGTATCTTGTCCTGGGTATGACGATAAACACCATCCGTGTCCTGGGTATGACGATAAACCACATCCAAGTCCTGAGTAAGACAATAAACTACGTCCAACAGCAAGGCCTCTGATCAGGAGGTTTTGAGGAGCGTGGAACCACCTCTTAATTGCTGGTGTTCCCAGGTCCACTCTGGTCTGGGGTGGTAGCACCTGTTAGGGTCCCAGCTATGGGCAAATAGTTAACAACCAAACTTGTGTAAAAATAGTTTTTAATACCAGAAATACTTTGTAATAAAAAATTATTACCAGGAATAATTTTTAAAGGAAAAATTATTATCAGCAATACTTCAAAAAAAAAAAAAAATCAGCAATACAAACAGTTATAAAGTTCTTCGAAAAAATATGACCAGCTATAGATGTCTTCAAGGAAAAATATTCCCCAAAACAGATTTTTGAAGAAAAACATTACCATCAATAAAAGTTTTGTTGGCATTAAATAACCCATTGAGATGTTGATATGCCGTAAAACAAAATCTAACCAAACCAATAAAATATCGGTATCTTGCATAACACGCCTTTCGGGGGGCATTGCACATTTACAATTCTCTGAGATGTAAGAATGCCATGATTTCATATTGCCAGAGTTCCTCCTGCAATTAACAATAAAGAACTTACCTTTCTCTCGTCGACTCGGCTACCAGTGAACTTGAAAATTCTTCAAACATTCTTCAGCAAAACCAAGTCAATAAAAGAAATAATAATGTAATGGCACAAGGCAATCAGCTTCAACATGTCAACGTGTTGGCACGGAAGAAAAAAATAAATGACTGTTCTTTCAAGAAACGGGTTTAAATTTTGTTCGTAGCATCACAGTTTCGATTTTATTTCATGTTTTTTTTTTATGTTTTGAAATTATTATTTGTAAAATGACATCTCCAGCATATTATTTTTTTTCTAAATTTCTTTGTTGTTGATATTATTATAATCAGATCAAGCCAATCTTCTCATCGTCAATTACAAGATATAACTGTTTTTATTCTTTGCATTTTCGATAGCCTCTTTCAACTTCTATCATGACGGTTATCTTCATCAATTAGGATTTTGTAGACTTCTTTTTTTATTCCACTTTCTTTCCATTTTCTTCACAGCTTCCTAACAATATCACCTCTTTCCTGCGTTATAATTTGCTTCTTTTAGTCTCTCTTCTACTTTTTCATCGCCCCCCTTTTTATTTATGTTCTTTACTTCTTTTCGTCTATTTTGATTTCATTGCCTTTACTTTCTTTCTTTTTTTTAAAAAAAAAAAAAACAAATTCTTTCTTTTTTTCTTTTATTTGTTTTCGGCTTCTTCTTTTACTTGCTTTGCGGTTATTCAGCGACATTTTTAATAGTCAAATTAGGCAGTCTCGTTTTCGCTGGCATTCACTTCCTTCTGGTTCTTCTTCTTCTTCTTCCCGCACTTTAATATTTTTCCACAGATTTCAGTTTTAAATCATTCTCATCATTGTCGTCGTCGTTGTCACCAACTTTTGGAGTCGCTGTTTCTTTTAATCATTCCACTTCCTCTTCCTCCTCCTCGTTAAATTTTCTTCACTTTCTCCACTTTTCCGTGTTTTGTTTTTCTCTCTCTTTATTTTTGTTTCAAGGTGTTTTGACGATCACTGGTTATATTTACTTTGACATTTTCTTCTTCTAATATCTTTTTTTTTCTCTTTCATGATTGTTTTTTTAATAATCATTAGTGTTCATAGTATGTGATGGCTCTTCTTCCTCAGACATTAATATTTCTCCTTCCTTTTTCTGTAGGTTTGTCTTCCATATTATTATTATTATTATTATTATTATTATTATTATTATTATTATTATTATTATTATTCCCTTTGATTTCTGCTGTGTACACATTTCATACCGGGTTCCGCCCAGAGACCTAAGGTCAGAAATGGTATCATGACATTTTTTACTGCCCAATTAAACACACACACACACACACACACACACACACACACACACACACACACACAACACACACACACACACACACACAGGTATACATTTTACATAGATAAAGCCCTTCGTAAGGTGCATGCTGTAACCGTAAGAACAATTTTTCTTCTTCTTTTTCTTCTTCGTCTTCTTCTTCTTTTTCTTCTTCTTCTTCTTCTTCTTCTTCTTATTATTATTATTATTACTACTTCTATTATTATTATTACTACTACTATTATTATTATTTTCCTCTACTTCTTTGACTTTTCTTCTTCTTTTTCTTCTTCTTCTTCTTCTTCTTATTATTATTATTGTCTTCTTTTTTACTTCTTATTTCTGTTTTCTCTTTTTTGAAATTTATATTTTATTAGCTTCAGTGTGCATATATCTTGTCATTTCTTCTTCAACGGCCACTAATATTTCTTCTTTAAGATTCTTCCTTTCTCGTGCATTTTACTACAGCGTTCTCTTCCACATACCTTTTCTTCTTCTTCTTCTTCTTCTTCTTCTTCTTCTTCTTCTTCTTCTTCTTCTTCTTCTTCTTCCTGCTCCTCCTCTTCGTCTTCTTCTAATTTCTGTTTTCTCTTCCTTGATTTTTTTTTATTAGCATCAAAATGCATATGTCTTGTCGTTTCTTCTTCCTCGCCCACTACATAACTATGAATGAAAGATTCAGGAATGCAATGATTTACCACAAAACCTACCCAAGTGCCGACTGCGGAAGCGACCATCGTCCTGTTATAGGTAAACTAAGACTGAAACTACGGAAGCAGAAGACACCTAACACAGCACCCAGATTGCAATACAACAAACTCCTGAGCGACCCGTACCTGAAGAAAAAAATATATGAACAGCGTGAAAAGAAGACACGAGGGACACAATAGAAATGGAAGCTCGAAATGGGACGCACTAAGAGAAGCTTTAGTGACATCAGCAAACAATATCATCCCAAAGGAGAATAGACGAAGAAAGATAAACGAATAGATCACTGATGATATTCTAGACATGATGCAAAGGATACAGACAACTCTGACAAGATACGGAAGGGAATACAGAAAACTACACGAAATAAAGACCAATTGCAGGCAGACTGAAAAAGAATGGCTAAACAAAAAATGTGCAGAAATAGAGAGATTGAGTACCACAGACAAAGGAGATACGCATGAACAAATATGGGAACTAACAGGGAACAATTCGTGCTCGACAACAGGCTGGTTAAAATCCAAGGATCTTACGCTCAAGGAGAAAAATTATTCAGCGCTAGTACGAATATATTGGAGAACTCTTCCACTTTGAAAGAGAATAACCGACAATACACAGAATTACTGAGTGGCTTAAAATTCTAAAAACCGATGTAGACGATGCATTGTCCAAATTAAACAGAAACAAAGTGGCAGGGCCCGATGGAATTGAAAAAAGAGTTGCTGACAGCCTAGGATTTGGGAATAGATAAGATTACAGAAATAATAAATGAAATCTACAACAGTGGAGATGTACAGGAAGATCTCAGCAGATCTATTTTCATAGCACTGCCTAAGAATCTAAAAGTAAACGAATGTGAACTGCATAGAACAATCAGCCTAATGAGCCACATAATAAAGCTCATCATCCGTATTCTGATGAACAGATCGCGCAGCCAGAGATAGGACAAGAACAGTGCGGTTTCGTTAAAGAAACCCGAACAAGGATCGCAATATTCATACACAGGATATTATCAGAAAATGCAATACAAATGCAGAAGGACGTGCGCCTGTGTCTATAAGACTACGCAAAGGCGTTCGATAAAGTGCGCCACAAAGATCTGTTGGAACTGCTCGGCAAACTTGATAAATTTGGGAAAGATATTAGAATAATTAAGAACTTATACTGTCAGCAAACGGCCTGCAAACGGTTAGTAAATGAATTCAACAGATATATTAAATAGAAAGAGGCGTAAGGCAAGGATGCGTCTTGTCACCGGACTTGTTCAACCTATACAGCGAGGCAATCCTGATAGAACTGAAAATTCTACCCGGCTTCATCATTGGCGGCCACAATCTTAACAACATAAGATATGCCGACAACAGACACGGAAAGGAAACTACAAAACCTCCTACAGAGAGCGAGATGAAGGGCCTAAGAATAAAATGCAAGAAGACAAAATGCGATATATAGGCCGGTGAAATGTTTTGACAGAGGACGGCAAGTGCGACGCAGATATGTGAAGGCGTATCAGGATGGACAAAGACGCATTCCATCCAAAGGCTAAGCAGAGCATTACCAGACAGGAGAATTTCGTCAGTAACAAAGAAAAGAGTTTTGAACTTCTACGTTCTATCTGCCCTTCTTTACTACAGCGAATGTTGGACGGCCTCATCAAAGATGAAGAAGTGGTTCTACAGAAGGATGCTAAAGATACGATGGCACGAACATCTGAGCAACGATGAGGATTTGGAAAGAACGCAAACAAAGAGCAAACATTTAACATCAGGAAGAGGCAGCTGAAATTTCTGGGATACATAATAAGAAAGGAAGGCTTGGAAAATCTGATACCCACAGGACGATTAGAGGGAAAGCGGGAGATGGGGAAGCAATGCGTAACATATCTAACGGTCTTTAAAAAAAGTAGATGAAAGAGAAAAGAGTAGCGAAAAGACAAAACTTATTGAGAACTACAAGGATTAGTAGGAAGTGGTGAGCCATGATCGCCTACGTCTTGAAGCGACAAGGAACATAAAAGAAGAAGAATCTTTCTTCTTCACTATTTTTCCTTTCTCGTATATTTTAGTATAGCGTTCACTTCCATATTATTATTATCATTATTATTATTATTATTATTATTATTTTATTTCCTTTGATTTCTAATGTGTCAACATTTCTTTCCGGGTCCCGTTTAGAAACCTAAGGTTAGAAATGGCATCATGACATTTTCCCGCTGACGAATTAAACAAAAACAAACACACACAAATATTTTACAGCGATAAAGCCATTCGTAAAGTGTGGGCTGTACTCGTGAGAACAATTTTTTGTAATTCTCTAAGACATGGGCTTCCAGGTATCTCTTCAATGAGTCTACTGGAATCTTTTCCAACCAATCCCAGGTTTCCAACAAGACAGGGATTTTTGAGGTTCCCATGTACCACATTTGTGAAATTTCGATTTTAAGGTCCTTGTATTTTGAAGATCTTCAAAAATACATTGCAGTCTGCAGGGACTACCATATCAATAAGAAGGCACTTTTTTGTTTGGGGTCTCTAATAATTATTACATAATAATAATAATAATAATAATAATTATTATTATTATTATTTTCATTATTTCCTTTATTTCTGGCACGTACACATTTCTTTCCGTGTCCCACCCAGAGACCTAAGGTTAGAAATAGCATCATGGAACTTCCACTGACAAATATATATATATATATATATATATATATATATATATATATATATATATATATATATATTACATAGATAAGGATCTTCGTAAAGTGTGGGCTGTACTTGTGAGAACAATTTTTTGTATTTCTTTAAGGCATGCGCTACCAGGAATCCCTTCAATTAGTCTACTGGAATCTTTTCCAACCAATCCTAGGGCTCCAACAACAACAGGGATTGTTGATGTTCCCATATGCCACATTTTTGAGATTTCTATTTCAAGGTCCTTGTATTTTGACAGCTTTTTTTTAATATATTCAAAGATACATTCCAGTCTGAAGGGACTGCCATATCAATAAGGACGCACTTTTTTGTTTGTGGTATTTAATAACAATGTCTGGGCGGTTGGCTTTAATTATTCTATTGTGTAGTCCCATAGAATTGTAACAGGTCCTATCTCCGTAACCGGGTCTGGGTGGTGTTCATACCAGTTTCTTTCAGTTTCCTTCCCGTAGAAGTTGTAGATTTTCCAGTGCAGATATTGGCCCACTCTGTCATGCCGGGTTTTAAACTCAGTGGGTGCCAATATCGTGCAACCTGATACAAGATGATCAATTGTTTCTGGATATTTATCACAGAATTTGCATTTTGGGATGACACAATATTTAAGTATATGTGCTTGATAATTTCTAGTTAACAAGCATTGGTCCTGCGCAGCAAGGATAAAACTTTCAGTTTCAGATTTCAACCCTGTACTGCGTAGCCACTGATGGGTACGGGTTTTGTCTACGTCAGATTGTATGGTCCGGGCAGAGTATTGGCCAGGAAGTCGTTTATCTTGCCATTGTTTCTATATCTGGTCGGTTGCATTTCTCTTTTTATGTATTTTGCAGCTTCAGTCAGTGTATTGTGCTTTACTTTTATTTCTGCACTATTATTATTATTATTATTATTAATATTATTCTGTTTTCTCATTCTTGAAATCTATTTTTTTTATTAGCATCACCGTGCATATGTTTTGTCGCTTCTTCTTCGGTCATTATTTTTTCTTCTTCACTATTTTTCCTTTCCCGTACATTTTACTACAACTTTTTATTTCCACATTCCTCTTGTTTTTTTTTTTTCTATTCTTCTTGTTTTTTTTCTTCTGTCCTTCTTCTTGTATTTTTTTCTCTTCTTCTTGATATTTCTTTTTCTATAACTTTTTTCCTGACTTTTCATTGTCCTCATTTTCCTTTTTTATTTTCACCATATTTTTAATTCGTTTTTTTCTTATTTCGGCTTCATCATCGACAATTTATGCAATACTCTTTTCTTGATTCTTCATTTACTTTTCCTGTTCTTGCTATTTTTTTTTTTAATTTTCTTTCATTTTTCTTTTTTAACATCTTCATCAATCGTGTTATGTCTTCCCTTTCTTCTTTCCGCTGTTTTTCCTTTCTGATATTTTTTCTCTTTATCATCAATTACGATTTGTGTCTTCTTCTTTTACTTCTTCTTTATTTACCATTATAAATTCTTCATCTTTTTTCCACATCACCCACACACTCTCCCATTTAATTATTTTTTGTTTACATTTTTTAATTCTAAATTCCTTTCTATCGTTGCAATACAAAATATTTTTAAACATTTCTACGATGTTGTTCACTCGAATTTTGCCTGTAAAAATGTCACCACCTCCTGTGGATCCTTGTCGCACTGGAATTGGTCTCCAACAGGCATTCAACTTTAAATACTAAAAAGTATCAGAATAATTATTCTATAAAAATACACGCAGAAGCCAATTCGTGAAAATAATAATCTTGTAGCACACGCATTCAAACATTTAACGCAACGTATATGACTGCTATATAAAAACACAAATTCATAAATATATAACCTCAAATTTCATTTTACATTCAAAATAGCCCAGGGTATGACAATGAACTATTTCCAGCAGCAAGTCCTCTGATCAAGAGATTGAAGGTTTGGAGAACCTCGGAACTTCTTCTTAAATGCCGATGATCCCAGGTCCACTCTGAGCCAGCTATCCCAGCTATAGCTAAGTTGTAAACCCCTAACCAATAACCAAAGACTATAAAAATGGAAAAATACTTTTTTTTACAGTTAAGAAATCTGCAGTACGAGGCGGTATAATGGTTAGCAAGCTTTTACCACAAGAACAGTTAAGACTGAGTAGTGTGTTCGATCCTTACTGGATGCCCCATACTTTTGGTTTTGTGCCATATCTAAGCTACGTTTGGATAATCACTTTATATCGTAAAATTGCCAAACAAGACGTATTTATAGTAAAATGACCAACAATACATTTTATAGTAGAATTACCAACAAGCATTTTATAGCAAAATGACTAACAATACATTTTCTATTAGAATTATCAACAATATATTTTATAGCAAAATGACCAACAATACAATTTATAGTAGAATTACCAATAATACATTTTACAGCAGAATTACCAACAATACATTTTATAGAAAAATGACTAAAAACACATTTTCTAGTAGAATTATCAACAATATATTTTATAGCAAAATGACCAACAATACATTTTATAGCAAAATGACCAACAATACATTTTATAGCAAAATGACCAACAATATATTTTACAGCAGAATGACCAACAATATATTTTACAGCAGAATGACCAACAATATATTTTATAGCAAAATGACCAACAATACATTTTATAGTAGAATTACCAACAATACATTTTATAGGAAAATGACCAACATTTCATTTAATCTCTAATTTAAGGCATACAATTGCAATCAAAATATATTTCGCAGAAAAAATAAAATTGTGTCTAAAACATTTAGATTTCGGCATGAAATAACCCATACACGTTGATATGCCTTTAAAAATATGAATATTGTCTCTTGGATGATTGATGTTATATTCAACATATTTACTTCAGATTTTCCTAGACGAACATTTTGTGTTATCGTAAAAATAATTTGTTTGATTTTAAAAATATTTTATGCGCTTTTCATCGGTGTTGGGTGATTTTTTTTTCTCTTTTGTTTGCTTATATGCGCGTGGGCAGGTGTGTGTGTGTGTTTTGAAAAGAAAAAAAGACGCATACATAACATCAAAAAGAGGCGTTTTGAATTTCTAGGGCATAAAATGAGAAAAAAGAGCTTAGAAAATTTGACACTCACAGGACAAGAGGTACAGAGGAAAGTAGTGAATAACCTACCTAACATCTTGTGTAAATGATTGGCAGAACAGGAATTATGAAGTATATCAAAACGTCTAACTTTTCTAAGTGTTACAAAGGACAGGAAGTTGTGGAGAACCATGATCACTAACTTCCCTAAGGGACAGGAAACATAGAAAAGAGAGAAGAATTTTGAATTAAAAACCTGTTGTGCCAGGAGCTAGGAACTGTACCTGTAAAACTTACTTGATACGGAAGCCACAACAGTATGACAAAGAATAAATATTGACTGATAAACACTTCCTATTTATTCTTTAACTTATCATAAGTGCATATATATATATATATATATATATATATATATATATATATATATATGTGTGTGTGTGTGTGTGTGTGTGTGTGTGTGTGTGTGTGTGTGTGTGTGAAAACTGAGGTTAACAATAAGCGTCGACAGGAAGTTTCCTACTTGACACAATCTTCGAAGACTGGAGTCAAAGTACGAAGCAGACTGTCGTCGCTTGGTGTTAATCCCTCAGTTTCTTTTTATATTTAAATATGCCCCATCTTGGATATTGAACACTTTTAGCCATAGCAAACTAAAATTATTTCATTTTTCTAATTGTGTTTGTATTTTTTGTACAATATCCTATAGATAAAAATGAATAGACTGAGATAGATAGATAGATAGATAGATAGATAGATAGATAGATATGATATGATATGATATGATAGACTGAGATAGATAGATTTGATATATGATATGATAGATAGATAGATAGATAGATAGATAGATAGATAGATAGATAGATATGATAGGCTGAGATAGATAGATAGATACATAGATAGATAGATAGATAGATAGATAGATAGATAGATAGATAGATAGATAGATAGATCAGGCATGTGGACACGTCTGTTTTGGGTTAGTTATCCATGAGTTTAATTTAATGAAGTAGTAAAATTCCTCAGTGCAGTAAACCTGTTCTTTCATAAGCGCTGCAGACATGCGACTTTGAGCATCAAGTAATTTTTAAAAGGACGCAACACTCAGAGTACCTCTCTCTTTTCATATATATATATATATATATATATATATATATATATATATATATATATATATATATCGTACACAATTATTACTTTATCCCGTTATATTTTTACAGACTTCCCCACACTTTTGTCTTTGGGCCTTACGAAGTAGATCTTAATGATTATATAGGTGTGAACAAGATTGCAGGCGAAAGAGAGAATAAGCATGTTTCCCATACTTGCATGTGTTTCCATATTAAATGTTATGGGAGGGGGTGAATGAATAAATAGCGAACAGGTCTATTTTATATCATGCTCTCGCAAACAAAACTGAATGACTCAGGCATGACAGATACAGTTCAGCTTCAGAGGTCAATGGGGGCATATACAAATCTCTATAAACACGCTTTGACGGTTCTTGTCAAAAATATGCGATTGAGTCTGATACGAGAATGTATTCGATTATACACAATTTACACAGTAAGCTCACACAATAGATTCCTTTGTCCTGCGTTCAGCCCCCTAAATAATTTTCAATTTAATTATAGAACTTTATTAATGTTATATGCACATAAGAGGAACATTATACTAACACATTTACATTTCTGACTTAAAATACGGGTCTACGTCTAGATAACCTGGGTTGAAAAGATGAGACAAATTTCTTACAGTGTTTAGATTTTGGATTTAAAAATCTTAACTGGAACTTTAAGGTTTAAGATCCCACCCATCACATTGGCCAGCGGATTAAATCGAATGTCCGTGAAAGAAAGAACCTCCAAGAGAACAGCTCATTTCTCCTTGGTCTAACATCTTCCACTGAGATGAAGTGGAGAGATTATTTATATCATCTATAGTATTCAGACTGTTATCATCATCTTCGTTGCCATATTCACAACGTTTCGGCCGTTGTACGCCTCGGACTTCTTCAGGTGATTGGATTTTCGAACAGAAATCTTTATTTCGTCCACTGAGGTAGATTGTTTCTAGTTCCACGTGCTATGCCTCTCCAGGATGTCTCAGTTATTTCCACTTAACTCAAAGTCTCCAATCTTTTGGGGTTACCTCTTCTATAGCCTGGTACTGAACTCACAAATCTTTGGGTCTAATTACTGGATCTTACCAACACCTTTTGTGCTGAACTATAAGGAATCAGCACATATGCTAGGCCACAAAAATCACCTGAGCCGACCAAGAATAGAAATGAATTAAATATGGGAACCAGTAATAGGGAGTGCTTGAGAAAAGCAATGAATAACAAAAAAAAAAAATTGCAATATAAACCCTGGTAAAAATAAATGCAATATTAATAACAGAAAAATTGCAATATGAGCACTGGTAAAAAATGGTTGCTGAGACATTAGGTTTATAAGTCTGAGAATTGCATACACAGATGTGCTCAAAGGACACATGACCATGTGGATAAATGCGTTGGTTAGATCCAATGACTAGTGAGTTCAATATCAGGCTACAGCAGTGGTGAACCAAAACTTAGAGGGTTGAGTTAACTGAGACATCCGGAAGAGGCCTGGCACGTGGAACTAGAACAATCTACCCTGGTTCGAAATTCCAGTCAAGTGAAGGAGGCTGGAGCGTACAACGGCTGAAACGTTGTGTATATGGCAATGAAGACGATGACAGTCCAAATAATGTAAGTAAACCTCATCTTAGAGATATTAGAGAGATCATATTGACTCAACTGGTAAAGCCTGCTGCTAAGAAGTTTGGTTCACTGTGACGTTCCAGACATTTTTTTCTCTTTTGGATTCATCTTGCACATTTATAAATCAACCATTCGTTCCGGCATTTAATATTGCTGCCATACCTGATCTGGTGCCTGTGCTGTGTATCACCAGTTTCTTGACAAAATCTAAAGAAAGGTCTGTAACGTTATCTATCTTGAACTAGCATCATGACTTCAGTCACTTTCCCACCGCTGTGAGGGGAGGGGCCTCCTTTTTTGACTTTTCTATAAATATTTTCGTGGTACTTAGTACCTCAATTGAATG